CCCAGTTGGGCCCCCACAGGCCTCTCTGCAGCCTGTAGGCCTGGGTCTTGGGATTACAGGCTTGTAGCACCCTCCCCAGCTTGCGCTTGACACTGGTAGGAGACGGACGTCTACCTGGCTCTCTTGTATAGCAATGGGCTCCCACACGTCACCTTTTACATGCAAGGTTAAGTACTTGAAGGACAGGGTGAATTGGTTAGCTGTGGTCTGGGCACACAGGTACAATGGCTTGCAGACTGCCTTCATCACCATCACCACCATCATCACCATCACCATCACTCCCCTCAGACAGCGGGGTCCCAGGCTCCACTGAGAGCAATGAACAGGATGACCCCCTCCTAACATGGACCCTGTGCAGACCTCTCTCTTCTTGGCATAAGACCTTAAAACTGATGGGCCTGATATAAATGCCCTCTCATCATGCCCCCAAATCCATGCAGCTCACCCCTTAGCTGCCCCTCCCTCTCTGCTCTCTAAATTATAGCAAAATGGCCGGGCGGTGGTGGCGCACGCCTTTAATCCCAGCACTCGGGAGGCAGAGGCAGGCAGATCTCTGTGAGTTCGAGGCCAGCCTGGTCTACAGAGCGAGATCCAGGAAAGGCGCAAAGCTACACAGAGAAACCCTGTCTCGAAAAAAAAACCAAAAAAAAAAAAAAAATTATAGCAAAATGTGGAAAAGGAAGTCAATGAGAACTCCTCGGGCTGGGGCAGCCTCTGAGGGTCTGAGTTCCGGGCGGGAGTCCTGAGCTTCCTCTATGAGTTACCTGAGAACCGACCCATAGGGTTCTAGATGCTTCCAGCCCCAGTGAGTGGGTGTGCTGTGGACATTCTCCCTCCACCCACAGCCTTCTGCTCAAGGCCTTATTCCTCTTCCACCTGTGTTCTTAATCCCCAAGCACACCCTGGCACCCTGGTCCCCTGCGGCTCTTTTATGCTTCACGAGGAATCAGGAAATCTATCCCTGCCTGAGAGAGATCAGCCTCCAATCAGTTGAATCCTAACCCCAAAGAGGAGCACCATGCACCCCCCCTACCCCCCTTACACATAAAGCCAAGGTCTCCCCACTCAGCCCCTCAGCTATTTCTACCAGAGGGGGCTTTTCCAGATCCACTCAGCCAAGTCAAGAGCGGGAGATAAGCTAGGAGTGATGGCATGCATCTGCAACCCCAGCCCTCAGGAAGCTGAGGCAGCAGGAGAGGCCTGAGTTGGAGACTGGCTTGGACTGTATGGGGAGAGCTTGTCACAAAAGGCAAAACAAAAACGCAGTAAAAGAGCAGAGAGGAAATGCCATCCCCTCCGACGCCCCAGAACCTCTATGGTTGAATAGAGCAAACTCCTAAAGGCTGTCCACTGACTTCTACACATCGTCTGGGAAGGTGGGGAGGGCCTGGCCTCTGAGCAGACACGGCCACAAGGACAGGGACATGCAGAGAACACCAAGTCACCGAAGCTTGCCTTTCTCCTGCCAGGAATGGCTGAAGAGCAAGAGAGAGGGATTTCAGCCGTCCCTCCACAGGCTACGCCTGAGGGCATCGGCTGCCAAACCACAGGCCAGGCCATTTCCTCTACACCTGCAGATGTCTTCAGTGGCCTCTTAGCACCCCAAAGGCAGAAGGAGGCCCTAACACAGATTTCCAGTCCTTTCACAGACCCTTCCCCTGGAAAGGGAAGGCAAACATCTACAGCCCTGCCCCAAACCCCGGTACACCAGGCTGGGTGTCACTCACCTGGAGCTGCTGAGGAGGTGGCGGAGGTGGGCGTCCAGAGCTGGAGAACCAGCAACAGGATCCAGGTCACCAGCATCTCCCAGGGAGAGGGCCCTGGCCGTAAGAGCGTCCCTCCTCAAGAGGTCCAAGAAGAGAGGGCCTCGCTCGCACCAAAGGAGCTCTTATAAGAAAGGACCCTAGAGACCTTTGCCTGGGGGGAGGCGGGTGTCTGGCCCGGGGTGGGGATGGCTATGGTTTAGGGTGGGTGACCACAGGGAGTTGGCTAAAAGGTAACCTATCAGCCTTCCTCCCCTCTAATTCCAGGTGTGTTGACTGTCCCAAGCAACAGCCAACGGAAATAAGAATCACTGGATGGGTGGGGCAAGACAGGCAGGACAGACCTGAGGTTGAGGGGTTGAGACTCGGAAGAAAGTAGCCAAGAGGTGGACGCCAAGAAACACAAGGGTGTGGTGGCTGTGGGGGGAAGATATGCTTGGACCGGCAAGACCCCAGAGAAGGACAGTCTCTAAGAAGCCAGGCGAGATGACGGAGAACCTTCCTCAGGGCCCAGCAACCTTTTTTTTTCCAGTCTTCTTTCCCCATTGCCTCCCTGGAGCTGCCCCCTTTCCATTGCGTTCCCGAGGGGGTGGGGTGCTGTCACTTACGCCTAAGGTTTTATGGGCTGTCCTCCACCCCTGGCCAGTGTCAGAGATGGGAGAAATCAGTGTTCATTGTCTCTTCCCCTCACAGAGCCAAAGTCCGAGGGACCTCTCCTAACCGCCTCCCCCCCCCCACACACACACACAAAGAGCCACTGGGTCAGATTACCACTCACTGTCCCAGTCCCAGGCAGGATCAAGGTGGCCCAGCACCGCAGGGGACCAAGACTGCAGGGGTGGGCAGGTAAAGGCACCCGCCGCCAAGCCTGATGACCTGAGTTCAATCCCCAGAACCCACACGTTGGCAGGAGAGGGTCCACTCCTGCAAGCTGTCTCCCGACCTCCACACAGGTGCTGTGACACACGCAAACACACGCACACACACACACTACAAAATAAATGTAATAAAAACAAACCCGTCTCTTTTCCTCCGTGACCCAGCACCCGGGGTCTAATTCCTTTCGGCTCATTCAGCTAATTCCACCTCTACGCTTCCATGGTCACGGCAAGTGAGGGCAAGATTGCAAAACTGAAGGGACTCCTCCCATTCCCTGTTGACGGAGACTCCCCCGCCCCCCACCCAGCAGTTAGTGAAACTCGCCCCCTTCATAAGATCTGGGCACAGTCATGGCCCCGAGAGATGCTCTCCTTCCTCCCTGGGACAAAGGATGCTGCCCAACCTTCTTACATCTCAACAGGGAATCTGAGTTTTAGCCAGATGGGGACCACTGGGGTCGGGGGTGGACAGGAGAAAGACGGACGGGCAGAGCAGTTTTGTTTACAGTAAAGGTATTTATTGATTTCTGTGGGAACTAGACACTTGCTGACATCCTGGCAAAGGAGGCTGCGGGCTCCAGAGGTTACGGCAGTGACATGGTGACATCAGGGAAGGACAGGGAGAGACATGAAAGAGGAAGAGAGCGTGAGGGTGGGGAGGGTGGGAAGGGAGGGCTGGGGGAATGGGGAGCCGGCTTCATGCCCTCCTCCTGGGACACAGCCACACCCCTCGCCTGTCTATGGGGATTCAGCAAACCTGAAGGGTAGAGAGAAGGTGGAGACTCGGGATGCAGAAGCAGGGGCTGGAGGAGAAAACACTGGGGCCCCAGGACACCCTGACCCTACGAGACCTCGGAATGTGGGTGTGGGACTCGGCTGCGCGCCGGGGTGGAGGACGGGCAGGTGTGTAGGGACCAGGACACGAAGTTCAAGGATGTAAAGTCCAGGTCATCCTCAACTGTTAGAGGGTTCAAGGCCGGCCTGTGCTTTCCAAGACTCTGTCGTTAAAGAGAAAACTGGGAGAGGCAAAGGGCTGAGGCAGGAGACTGACGTACGAATCAGGGTGAGAGCTTTGGAGAGTGACAACAGGGTCACAGCACGGAGCCAGGAGGAGAGAGTCGGGGTGGGACCGGCTTCCTGCTGCCCACAGGTGTGAGTTCAGGTGTCCACAGGTGTGAGTTCAGGTGTCCACAGGTGTGAGTTCGAGTGTCCACAGGTGTTAGTTCGAGTGTCCACAGGTGTTAGTTCGGGTGTCCACAGGTGTGAGTTCAGGTGTCCACAGGTGTGAGTTCAAGTGTCTATGAGTGTGAGCTTAGACTGTCTACAGGTGTGAGTTCAGGTGTCTACAGGTGTGAGTTCGGTGTCCACAGGTGTGATTTTGGGTGTCTACAGGTGTGAGTTCGGGTATCCACAGGTGTGAGTTCAAATGTCCACAGGTGTGAGTTCAGTGTCCACAGGTGTGAGTTTGGTGTCCACAGGTGTGAGTTCAGGTGTCCACAGGTGTGAGTTCAGGTGTCCACAGGTGTGAGTTCAGGTGTCCACAGGTGTGAGTTCAGGTGTCTACAGGTGTGAGTTCAGGTGTCCACAGGTGTGAGTTCAGGTGTCCACAGGTGTGAGTTCAGGTGTCTACAGATGTGAGTTCAGGTGTCCACAGGTGTGAGTTCGGTGTCCACAGGTGTGAGTTCGGGTGTCCACAGGTGTGAGTTCAGGTGTCTACAGGTGTGAGTTCAGGTGTCCACAGGTGTGAGTTCAGGTGTCCACAGGTGAGAGTTCAGGTGTGCACAGGTGTGAGTTCAGGTGTGCACAGGTGTGAGTTCAGGTGTCCACAGGTGTGAGTTCAGGTGTCCACAGGTGAGAGTTCAGGTGTGCACAGGTGTGAGTTCAGGTGTCCACAGGTGTGAATTCAGGTGTCCACAGGTGAGAGTTCAGGTGTCTACAGGTGTGAGTTCAGGTGTCTACAGGTGTGAGTTCAGGTGTCCACAGGTGTGAGTTCGGGTGTCCACAGGTGTGAGTTCAGGTGTCTACAGGTGTGAGTTCAGGACTCTACAGGTGTGAGTTCGGGTGTCCACAGGTGTGAGTTCAGGTGTCCATAGGTGTGAGTTCGGGTGTCCACAGGTGTGAGTTCAGGTGTCCACAGGTGTGAGTTCAGGTGTCCACAGGTGTGAGTTCAGGTGTCTACAGGTGTGAGTTCAGTGTCCACAGGTGTGAGTTTGAGTGTCCACAGGTGTGAGTTCGGGTGTCCACAGGTGTGAGTTCAGGTGTCCACAGGTGTGAGTTCAGGTGTCCACAGGTGTGAGTGAGTTCAGGTGTCCACAGGTGTGAGTTCAGGTGTCCACAGGTGTGAGTTCAGGTGTCCACAGGTGTGAGTTCAGGTGTCCACAGGTGTGAGTTCAGTGTCCACAGGTGTGAGTTTGGTGTCCACAGGTGTGAGTTCAGGTGTCTACATTTGTGAGTTCAGGTGTCTACAGGTGTGAGTTCAGGTGTCTACAGATGTGAGTTCAGGTGTCCACAGGTGTGAGTTCAGGTGTCTACAGGTGTGAGTTCAGGTGTCTACAGATGTGAGTTCAGGTGTCCACAGGTGTGAGTTCAGGAGTCCACAGGTGTGAGTTCAGGTGCCCACAGGTGTGAGTTCAGTGTCCACAGGTGTGAGTTCAATGTCCACAGGTGTGAGTTCAGGTGTCCACAGGTGTGAGTTCAGTGTCCACAGGTGTGAGTTTGAGTGTCCACAGGTGTGAGTTCGGTGTCCACAGATGTGAGTTCGAGTGTCCATAGGTGTGAGTTCAGGTGTCCACAGGTGTGAGTTCGGGTATCCACAGGTGTGAGTTCAAATGTCCACAGGTGTGAGTTCGGGTGTCTACAGGTGTGAGTTCAGGTGTCTACAGGTGAGAGTTCTGGTGTCCACAAGTGTGAATTCAGGTGTCCACAGGTGTGAGTTCGGGTGTCTACAGGTGTGAGTTCAGGTGTCCACAGGTGTGAGTTCAGGTGTCCACAGGTGTGAGTTCAGGTGTCCACAGGTGTGAGTTCAGGTGTCTACAGGTGTGAGTTCAGGTGTCCACGGGTGTGAGTTCAGGTGTCCACAGGTGTGAGTTCAGGTGTCCACAGGTGTGAGTTCAGGTGTCTACAGGTGTGAGTTCAGGTGTCTACAGGTGTGAGTTCAGTGTCCACAGGTGTGAGTTCAGGTGTCCACAGGTGTGAGTTCAGGTGTCCACAGGTGTGAATTCGGGTGTCCACAGGTGTGAGTTCGGGTGTGCACAGGTGTTAGTTCAGGTGTCTACAGGTGTGAGTTCAGGTGTCCACAGGTGTGAGTTCGGGTGTCCACAGGTGTGAGTTCGGGTGTCCACAGGTGTGAGTTCAGGTGTCCACAGGTGTGAATTCGGGTGTCCACAGGTGTGAGTTCGGGTGTGCACAGGTGTTAGTTCAGGTGTCTACAGGTGTGAGTTCAGGTGTCCACAGGTGTGAGTTCAGGTGTCTACAGGTGTGAGTTCAGGTGTCCACAGGTGTGAGTTCAGGTGTCCACAGGTGTGAGTTCGGTGTCCACAGGTGTGAGTTTGAGTGTCCACAGGTGTGAGTTCAGGTGTCCACAGGTGTGAGTTCAGGTGTCCACAGGTGAGAGTTCAGGTGTGCACAGGTGTGAGTTCAGGTGTCCACAGGTGTGAGTTCGGTGTGCACAGGTGCAAGGTGAAGGATAAACATTAGCACATGGATGGAGTGCAAACACAAGAGCTGTGGACGGGGAGGAAGCTCAGCCTCCCGCCCGGCTCCCCAAACGTCCTGGGTTCGAGCCCCGGCAGCAGTGAGCTCCGGAATCCTGGCCCTGGGGGGGGGGGGCGAAGGTCAGAAGGTCAGAGGTCAGAGGTCAGAAGGTCAGAGCCGGTCGGGGACACAGCGACTCTGTCACCTGAGACGGGAGGAGATGAGGTGAGAACCCGGGGGAGCGATGGGAGGGGGACAAGGGCCCAAAATATCTGCCAAATACACGTGAAGTTCACCGTGACTGTGCAAACTTTCAGGGTAAAGGTGTGAGTGCGTCACCCCCATTTCACAGATGGGAAACTGAGGCACTGATAACACTGAGTTGCCCACCACACCGGAGTGGAGAGCCTAGATGTGTTCTCCGAGTGAGTTTAGTCAAAGGAGGAGAAGGACGGGGTCAAAAAACAGGGTTTGGTTTGGTTGGGGTTTTTTTGCCCAAGAACACTGGGAGCCGGGTGTGTGTGGGGGTGTGTGTGGGGTGTGTGGGTGTGTGTGGGAGGGTGTGGGAGTGTGTGTGGGTGTGTGTGGGTGTGTGTGTGTGGGGTGTGTGTGTGTGTGTGTGTGTGTGTGTGTGTGGGTGTGTGTGGGTGTGGGGGGGGTGTGGGGGGGTGTGGGGTGTGTGTGGGTGTGTGTGGGGTGTGTGGGTGTGTGTGGGGGTGTGTGTGGGGTGTGTGGGTGTGTGTGGGAGGGTGTGTGGGTGTGTGTGGGTGTGTGTGGGTGTGTGTGTGGGGGGGGGGTGTGGGTGTGGGGGGGGTGTGTGGGGGGGTGTGGGGTGTGTGGGGGGTGTGTGTGGGGTGTGTGTGGGTGTGTGGGGGGTGTGTGGGGGGGTGTGGGGTGTGGGTGTGTGGGGGGTGTGGGGGTGTGTGTGGGTGTGTGTATGGGTGTGTAGGGGTGTGTGTGGGGGGTGTGGGGGGGTGTGGGTGTGTGGGGTGTGTGTGTGTGTGTGTGTGTGGAGGGGTGTGGGTGTGTGGGGGGGTGGGGGTGTGTGTGGGGGTGTGTGGAGGGGTGTGTGGGTGTGTGTGGGTGTGAGTGTGGGTGTGAGTGGGCGTGGCCTACCGGATGGGCGTGGCCTGTTGGACGGTCCTTCTGCAGAAACACTGTCCCCGGTGGCGGTCGGTGGTGACATCCGCTGCAGGTGTGCAGCTGGTGACGCAGCGGAGCCTGTTCGGCTCCACCAGGGGAAAGCGGAAGTCCTCGTAGCCCGCGGGGCAGTTCAGTGACAGGCGGCTGGGGAGGAAGGCAAGGGGGGACGACAGAAACGGGGTTCCTCTTTTTCCACTCAGTAACCTGGCTTTAGTGACCGGGAGTGAGGCGGGGGAGGGGGGGCGCTGGGGCGGGTTTTTCCAAGGTGGCAGGGAAGTAACCCTGGCCCTCTGGCCTTGGTTGTGGCTGTGTGTGTGTGTGTGTGTGTGTGTGTGCGCGCGCGTGCATGCACTGGTATGCAAGGGTCCTATGTGTATATAGGTCAGGGGACAACCTTGGACATTGGTCCTCAGGTGCCTTCCACTGGATTTTGTTTGTTTGCTTGTTTGATTTTGAGACAGAGACTTTCATTAGCCTAGAATGTCACCATATAGTTCATATAGGGCCTGTGAGCTTCCAGAGATTGACTTGTCGTCATTCACCATCATCAATCTTCATCATCAATCTTCATCATCATCAATCATCATCATCATCAATCATCCTCATCATCATCAATCATCATCATCAATCATCATCATCATCAATCATCATCATCATCATCAATCATCATCATCAATCATCATCATCATCATCATCATCATCATCAATCATCATCATCATCAATTATCACCACCACCATCATCAATCATCATCATCAATCTTCATCCTCATCATCAATCATCATCACCATCATCATCATCAATCATCATCATCATCAATCTTCATCATCATCAATCATCATCATCAATCTTCATCACCATCATCATCATCAATCATCGTCATCAATTATCACCACCATCATCATCAATTATCAATTATCATCATCACCACCACCACCATCATCAATCATCCTCATCCTCATCCTCATCAATCATCATCATCAATTATCATCATCAATCTTCATCATCAATCATCATCAATCTTCATCAATCATCATCATCATCAATTATCACCACCACCATCATCAATCATCCTCATCCTCATCATCATCACCATCATCATCATCAATCTTCATCATCATCAATTATCACCACCATCATCATCAATCATCAATTATCATCCTCCTCATCATGAATCATCACCATCATCGCCATCAACTTCTGTCTGTGTGTGTTTGTGGTGTGTGTGCACGTGTGTGGGTACCTGCCCATGCTCGGAGTCCAAAGGATCGCACCTGGTGTCGTGCTCGGTCACTCTGTATTATTCCCCTGGGAAAAGCTCTGTTCTCACTGACAGCAGTCAACGAGTCCTCAGCAACGCTCCTGTCCCTGCATCCTCCACCCCTGGGTTTACAGACATGCATGCCCATGTCCCACTTTTTTCACCAGTGCTGGGATTTGAACTCATGTCTTCCTGGCTGCACAGCAAAACACTCTTACCCACTGAACCATCCCCCCAGCCCCAAGTCCAGCCTTTTACGTGATTTCTGGGAATCTAAACTAGGGTCTTCACGCCTTGGAGACAAACACGTTCACTTTCCTGACTGAGCATTTCCCCCAGTCCCATTGCATTCTTTTTAGACGAGGGCTCTCAGCCTGGGAAGCAGGGAAGGAATGAATAGGAATAGCATGCTCTTCATGTTGTATCAAAGTATCACCAAACTAGGGGCTGGAGAGATGGCTCAGTGGTTAAGGGCACTGGCTTTTCCAGAGGACCTGGATTCTGTTCCCAGCACTCACAGGGTAGCTCACCACCATCTGTAATTCCAGTCCCTAATACCCTCTTGTGACTTCTGGCACATAGGTGGTTCACAGACTTACATGCCAGCAAACATTCATACACATAAAATAAGTTTTTTTAAAGATATCACAAAACCAAACCGTGTGTGTGTATGTGTGTGCCGTGTGTGTGTGTGTGTGTGTGTGTGTGTGTGTGTGTGTGTGTGTGTGTGTTCTATCTCTTTCTCCTTCCTCTCCTCCCTCCTTACTTCCCACAGACAGAGCTGGTACCAGGCAAACAGAGACTAAGTCAACAACCCCACCTCTGCAAGTCTCATGCAGTTGTTCTTGAAAAGGGTACCATTCCCCTGCAAAGAAATGACGCCCTGAAATCATTGTGAAAGTCCCTCTCATGGAACCCCCTTGAAGACTCCCTCTGCCTCTTTGTGGTGGCTAATGGTTCCAAAAGGGAGGGGTGGCGTCTCCATTCCCTCTACCCCACAATCTCTCCACAGCCCCAGAGGGACTCCTACCTCAGGGACAGGATCCGCACACCCTGGAAACCTTGGACAGTCTGGTAAATCTTCTGCATCTGAAATGTTGATGGTCTCTGGGATTATGTCTGAACCTGTGGGCCTGAGAATACCCAGGGGCCCATGCCCAGGTCCAGGGAAGGATCATTAAGCTCCCTCCTCCCTGCTCACCTGGCCCTGGAAGGCATTGCTGAAATCTCTGTAGGCCTTGGAAGTGTTGTCTTTGAGGTCTTGAGAGAATTCCTGGTCCACGGATACCTCCATGCCCACTTCGGTCTCCACTGTGTCTGTATCATGGGATACCTAGCTGTGATTACTCCATCATCTGCCCTTGTCTGCCATCACTACCCCAACTCTCTCATCTATAGGCTTCTCTGTCTTTCTCCATCATTCCCAAAGACTTAACGGAGGAGTACCCGGAAAGGAGAAGGAATTCTGGAATAATATCTGGGGTGTGGGTCAGTGGTAGAGCACCTGCCTAGAATCCCCCGGAGAGGTCCTGTGCTCAGTTACCATTAGAAAGAGAATAAATCAATTAATTCTGGTATGTTTTTATCAGAGGTGAAAGGAAGAAGGCCAACTTCACATGGACTGGCCTATAACTCCTCCATTTTCCCCACAGAGCAGGCGGAATAATAATAGTTCCTTAAGATGTTTCCACCTAGCCGGGCGGTGGTGGCGCACGCCTTTAATCCCAGCACTCAGGAGGCAGAGTCAGGCGGATCTCTGTGAGTTTGAGGCCAGCCTGGGCTACAGAGCGAGTTCCAGGAAAGGCGCAAAGCAACACAGAGAAACCCTGTGTCGAAAAACAAAAAAACAAAACAAAACAAAAAGATGTTTCCACCTTAATCCTAAGAAGGAACACACGAATATATCATCTGAATACGGAAATATGACACAGATGTTCTGTGTCAGGATGTTCAAACTGCTTTGAGAGGTAGAGAGGGGGCTCAGTGGTTCCGAGTGTGTCCTTCTCTCCCAGAGGACTCCAGTTCAGTTCCCAGCACCCATGTCAGACACCTGACAACTCCCTGTAACTCCAGGTCAGGGGGCATCTAATATCTCTGACCTCTGTGTCACCTGTACTCATGCTCACAGGTGCTGTGGGTGATTGATTGATAAATAAAACGCTGATTGGCCAGTAGCCAGGCTGGAAGTGTAGGCGGGACAAAGAGGGAGGAGAATTTTTGGGAAGTGGAAGGCTGAGGCCGAGAGACGCTTCCAGTCACCGCGATCAGAAGCAGGATGTAAAGTACTGGTAAGCCACAAGCCACATGGCAAGATATAGATTAATAGAAATGAGTTAATTTAAGATAGAAAAACTAGATAACAAGAAGCCTGAACCATTAGGTCAAACAGTTTAAATAATATAAGCATCTGTGTGTTTATTTTATAAGTGAGCTGTGGGACTGCCGGGCTTGGCAGGACCCAGAGAGAAAATCTCCAGCTACACACAGGCATACACATAATTAAAAATAATAAAGATTAAACCTTTACTAATTCGTTTTATTTCTAATTTTTGTTTTTGCTTTGTTTTGCTTTTGAGTCAGGGTCTCACTCTGTAGCCCTGGATGGCCTGGAACTTGCCACGTAGACCAGACATGTTTCAAACTCACAGAGATCCACCTGTCTTTGCCTCCCGGGTGCTGGGATTCGACACGTGTACCAGCATGCTCTGCCCACATCTGATTTTGCAATGGTAGATCGCTGTGGTCAGCTTGACAGGCTCCAGAGTCACCATGAAGACAAACCTCTGGGCACATCTGTGAGGGAGTCCCTGGGTTGGATAAGTGAGGTGAGAAGACCCACCTTAAATGTGGGTGGGGCTATCCTGAGGTCTGCGATCTTGGCCTGAATAAAAAGAAGCAAGCATCCATCTCTCTCTCTGCTCCCTGACTGTGGATGCCATATGACCAGCTGCCTCACGCTCCTGCCGCCATGACTTCCCTGACATGGTGGACTGTGTCCCTTCAAACCGGGAGCCACCACCAACCCTTTCTCCCTTAAATTGTTTTTATCTCAGTCATGATGGTGCACGTCTGTAATCCCAGCACTCAGAGACAGAGGCAGGGGGAGTCTCTGTGAGTTTTAGGACAGCCCGGTCTACAGAGTGAGTTCCAAACTAGCCAGGGCTACAAAACAAGACCCTATCTCCAAAAACAGTTGCTTTCGTCAGGGATTTGAGCACCACAGTGAAAGACACAACCAATGGAGCCTTGTAATCCACAGAACTGTGTTACAGCCACTAGCTCTATGGTCATTCATGACCGCAACCATCAGAAACTAGTAAGGTTGCCGGGCGGTGGCGCACGCCTTTAATCCCAGCACTCGGGAGGCAGAGTCAGGGGGATCTCTGTGAGTTAAAGGCCAGCCTGGTCTACAAAGCGAGATCCAGGACAGGCACCAAAACTACACAAAGAAACCATCTCAAATCCTCCCCCAAAAAAAGAAAGAAAAGGAGAGAGAGAGAGAGAGAGAGAGAGAGAGAGAGAGAGAAAAGAAAGGAAGAAAGAAAGAAAGAAAGAAAGAAAGAAAGAAAGAAAGAAAGAAAGAAAGAAAGAAAGAAAGAAAGAAAGAAAGAAAGAAAGAAAGGAAGGAAGGAAGGAAGGAAGGAAGAAAGAAAGAAAGAAACTAGTAAGGTCTGGAGAAGAGGACAAAAAGAAGGCTGCAGTCAACTGGAGGTTAAGGGTGAAGAGGAGCATGGGATGGCAGAGTTTGTGGGAGAGAGGTCAGCAATGGAAGAAGACGGGGAGCAGAGTGCATAAGCGCCTTCTGGAAGGAGGAAGGATGGAGCCCACGGCCCCGGCAACTCACCTATTTCTAACTGCTCCACTGGAGACTCGCAGAGAGACCCATAGAAGGTACTGGGGCAGAGACACTTGACGCCATCCCATGAGCCCCCGTTCCGGCATCTGGTATCCGGAACTTGACAGCGGTCTCCAGAGAAACCAGGAACACAAACGCACTGGTCCTGGTCCCAGGTGCCGCCATTTTCACAAATGCCTGGGAAATATGGGTAAGATGAGAACTCTAACTAGAACCAGACCTTGGTGACACAGAACTGAGTTAAAAAGGAAGGTATAGAAAAAAACAAAACATGAGGTGAGAGGTCTAACCTGGGGTGGTGGTCAAGCTTGCTGCTGTAGTCATCTGAGTAGTGGTTGGAGTTGGTCTTGATGACGGTGATGTAAGGGCGGTAGGAGACTTCATGGTGGTCACTGATGTCTCTGGGCTCTTTGCGGTAGATGGAATGGGGTAGATCACCTTGCTTGAAGGTAGTTGGAAGGCTGTTGCTTGGTTGCGGGGTTGGAGGAACACTGATGGAACCGGGCATATTTGGGGTGATGGTTGAGGTGGCGCTCAACCAATGGTCCCTAGTGGACACTGAGGTGCTGGTCAAACCTGTGCCTGTGTCTATGGTCCTCGTGACCGTTGACCTAGGAGCATCAGTGATGATGTTTGAGGGCTCCATTTCTGGAGTCACGGAAGAAGTGTCCGTATAGGTAGGGAGAAATGACCTTTGGCTGGTAGAACTGGAAAAGGTGACCATTTCAGTGGTAGAGGGAATGACTGAGAATGGGGTAGTGGGAGCAGATGTCACATGAGACTTGGATTGATGTCAACACATGGCGCCAGCGGAGAGGTAGGGACTATTGTGATGGTGATGGTTTCTGGACAGGGTGTAGTGGAAGGAAGAGAGATATAAGAGAAGGGGGTTGATTCAGTGTGAGCTGTGGTCGGTGATGAGGTGGTTGGAGAAGTTCTGGTAGTCGAAGAAGGAGGAAAGGATGTTACTACAGAGGGGACTCGACCTTCTGTACTGAAACTAGGGGAGAACGTAGGAGATTTAGTAGTCGTACTTTGCGTTGGACTAGTAGCAGGGAAAGACAGAGGAGTCGACATCATTATTGTGGGTGTCAAAGAGATCAAGGTACCAAAAGCAATGACCACTGCATTTGGAGAAGTACTTCCCCTGGGGAGAGATTCTGTTCTGGGAGGTAAGTGTAGTTAGCAAAGTGGAGGTGGACATGAGAGTCTTAAGAATGGACCAGCCAGTGCTTGTCGTGAGCACATGGGATGCTGACAAGATAGGACCGGAGTTTGGTGATGGACTTTGAGTTTGAAAAGAAGGGAACAGGGAATTGGTACTTGTAGGAGAAATGCTGGTAGGAACAGGAGAGGTTTTGGTTCCCGAGTCAGAGGCAAATTTAGAAGTCGACTCTGACAATGAGATTTCAGGTGAAACTGACGTACTCATCCCAAGGGAACCTGATGGGGTGTTCCCAGAAGCTGTGACGGTAGTTGTCACGATGGGGGTAATGGAGTGGGCTGTGCTGAGAAGTGAAATCCCTGTGTCCTGGATGACGGAGGAGGATGGGATAGTATTGGTGTGGGTTGGTAATATACTAGAACTTGTATAGGTTGAGGTGGTAGCTGCCATGGTAGACGTATCACTGTTGCCTGTAGATGAGGAGGAGAGACTTGTAACGGCAATGGTAGGGATTCCTTCACTAGGAAAAGGTGAGGTCATAGATGTCAGTGTCCCCAGGTTACCAGGAGTTGTAGGATGTGAGGAGACGGTAGCTGTAGATATTCTGTCAGTGGAGTGCATGTTTGACTTGGAAGAGGTCGTAGGGGTTCTAGAGGGAGTCGGGGTGACTGTGGTGATCACGTCTGTGGTGGCTGTCATAGCTGTGCCTGAGATGAGTGGAGATGGCCGGGTTGATGTCAGGAAGGCGGTGGGGGTCGATGTGTCGGTGACAGAGACAAGAGTGGTGCTGTCTGACATAGAGTATGTGGTGGGAGGACTCGGGGAGGTGACCTGGGGTGTAGCTGTAGATGCTGCGTTAGTGCTTGGAAGTGAGGTCACCAAGGTAGACTGTACAGGGGTATCTGGTTGTGAACCTGAGACAGACATAGAGGACAGGGCCCTACTCGTGCGTGAGGTCAACACACTGGAGGTCACATGATATCCCATGGAGCTCATGGATATCCCAAATGTGAGTGGGCCCGTAGTAGTGACCAAAGACGTGGTTGGGGAAGTCACGGTCATGCCTGTCATGAGTGATTCTGTAGGAAGGCCTGCGGCAGGATTCACTGTGCTTTCTCCCGTGGATGTGGCAGCAGCAGGGGTGGGGGAGGGGGGCTGACCTGCTCCAGTCACGGCGGAAGTAGGAGGGGGTGGCTCTGGAGATGTGGGGGCTGTGAGTGTGGTGGTGGTAGTGAGTGTTGGGGTGGACTCCGCCGTTGTGTGGAGTGTGGGGTTGGTGACTGGAGCTGACGGCACACTGCCCAGCCGTGTGATGCCCGCACTGCTGGCAGAGATGGATGAGGGGGATGCAGATGTAGCTGGAATCCTCGTGGCGGGGCTTCCTGCACTTGAGGGGTTAGCGGTCCTGATGGTGGCAATGGCATGGCGTGTGCTGACACGTGGCGTTTCTGTGTTCTGGATGACGGAGGAAAGAGGGCTGGAAGCGGTGCGGGTTGGCGGAGAGCTGGAGACAGTGTGGGTAGAGGTGCCTCCCGCCACAGTGTGCTCAGTGTTTCCCGGGGGTGAGGGGGTGAGAGCCGTGGCTGTGGTGGTGTGGCAGTGTGTGCTAGGTGAGGAGGAGGCTGTGGGTGTGAGCTCGGGATGTAAGGAGGAGGCAGACGCTCTGTGGGTCAAGTCGCTCTCTGAGGCTGTGATGATGGGAGGTCTGAGGGAGGGGGTCAGAGGAGCCAAGGTGACCATGTGTGCGGCAGCTGTCTTGTCTGTTTCAGAAGTGAGCGGAGAGGACCCGGTGGTCGAGGAGGTGTCAGCGGAAGACGTGTCTGTGCTGGGGGCAGGAGATGTGAAACGGAGCGCGGACTCTGTAACTGGCCTGGTTGGAGAGCTGGGAAAAGAGACTAGAGATGAGGTTAGAGATGCAGCCTCGGGAGCTGGCGGTGTTGACGCCAGAGCAGATGATGGGGGAGTGTCTGCGCTGCCAGGAGTGACAGGCTGTGTGCTTGGGACAAATGTTGAGGACGGGACCCCACTTGTGTGTGAAGGCAGCGCATGGGTGGTTCGTGAAGGAGAGGTAGTGAGCCTCCCAGAAGTCAAGGTATCTAAGGGGGCAAATGAAGAGCTGGTGGAGGCCGTGGTTGCCATTTCTGACATCGGAGGTGGTGTGGAAAGGTCTGTGGTGGAAGTTGTTGTGGCTTCTCCAGTGGACGTCACAATGGTCCCTGCGGTAGCAGAGGGTGGCTCTGTGGACGTGGTTGTTGTGAATGGGTGGGTGGTCGTGGGTGCTGGGGCGGATTCAGCTGCTGTGTGGGGAGAATGGGGAAAGGTTGGAGCTGAGGGTTCACCAGCTGTCTGGATGGTCCCAGTCCTCCTGGCAGAGGTGGACGAGGAAGAAGCAGGTGTGACTGGAAGGCTTGTGGCAAAGGGACTGGAATCGTTGCGGGTGATTGAGAGTGTAGCTGACCTACTGGGTGTGGCATGACTTGTAGGGACAAATGCCATTGTTTCTGAGTTCTGGAGCCTGGAGAAAGATGGGAAGAGAGTGGAGTGGGTTGGTGACCTAACAGAACCACCTTCATGGGTTGCGGTGATGTCTGTTGTGACCAGCGGGACAGTGTTGCTCGTAGGAGAGGTGTGGAGAGCTGTAACTGGTGTGGTAGAGACGTCCATAGTGGGTGAAGCCAGGGCTGTGGGTGTAATCGTGTCCGTCACACCAGAAGTGGTAGGCGTTGTGGAGAGCCTATCTGTGGAGTAGATGCTGGAGGCTGTGGAGCTGTGAGTGATGAGAGATGGGGTCTGGGCAGCCATGGTGACTAAGGGTGTGGTAGAAGTCCTGACTGCTTCTGAGGTGGGTAATGAAGGCCAGGTGGAAACGACAGACGTGGCAGGGGCCAGTGTGTCTGTGATGGAGGAAGGAGAGGAGCTCCCTGATGGCAACAATGTCACGGCATTGGTGAAAGAACCGAAGAGGGCAGCCTGAGAGGTACCTGTAGACAAGGCTTTGGTAGTTGGGAATGTGGTCTCCAAGGTGGCTAAGGGGGGCCGTGTGTGTGACGTCAGTGGTGATTGGCTGCGAGCTGGAGATAGACACAGAGGAGAAAGCAGTAGTGGTGGGTGAAGCCAACACTTGGGTGCTCACCGGTGGATAGATGCTTGCTGTCCCAAAAGTCAGTGGATCTGAGGGTGTGACTGTCGACGTGATCTGGGAAGTGGCTGTGGTTTCTGTGCTGAGAGATTCTGTGGGAAGGTCTGTGGTAGGAATCAGGGTGGCGGTAGTTAACGGTGTTTCTGTCGATGTGGTGCTGGTGGGTGTTGGGGTGGACTCAGCTGTCATGTGGAGTGTCTGAGGGATGCTCGGAGCTGAAGGTGTACTTTCGGTGTTCCCAGAACTGACATCAGCCACTGAGGTGGGGGGTGTAGTTGTGGCAGGAACGGTGACAGCAAGAGACCGTGTTTGGGTGTTTCCAGTGTTTGTAGAAGTAGCTGCTACACGTGGGGTGGTGGTATGGGGTGTACTCATCGGCGTTGTTCCTTCTGTGTTATTGACGAAAAGGGAAGATGGGGTCCTAGTGGTGTGGGTGGTGGACATACTGGAATCTGCAGGGGTGGAGGTGGTGACTGCCGTAGCGGAGGAGCCACTGGTGCCTGTAGATGAGAAATAGAGAGCTGTGGCTGCAACTGTGGAGGGGCCTGCACCAGAAGAAGACAGCGTTGTAGACAGGAGTGTCTCCATAGCACCAGGGCTGTCGGGATGTGAGGAGGTAGCGGCTGTGGGTGCTCTGCGAGTGGAGTAAGTGTCTGAGGCTGTTGTGAGGCTAGGGCTGCTGGGAGAAGACGCCAGGGGAGCTGTGGTGACCAAGTGTGTGGCAGCAGATCCGGCTGTTTCTGAGGTGGGCCAAGAGGTCCAGGTGGGCGTGACGGAGGGGTCAGGCATCAGTGCATGTGTGGTGGCTGTAGGAGAGGTGATATCTGATGTGAAGTCTCCAACAGCGGTACTTGGAAAGCTGGGAGAGTTGGCATGAGACACCACTGTAGATGTGGCATCGGTAGCCGGAAGTGCTGTCGTCGTTAAGGTAGATAAAGGGGTGGTGTGTATCATGCCAGGGGTGACAGACTGCGTGCTTGGGGCAGATGTAGAGGAAAGAATCCTGCTTATGAGTGATGTCAACACAGAGGTGCTCATGGGAGGGGAGATGCTGGATACCCCAGAAAGCCACGCATCTGTGGGGGCACCCGAAGAAGGGATCAGAGGAGTTGTGGTGATTTCCGTCAGGAGAGAATCCGTAGGAAGGTCTGTGGTGGGATTCAGTGTGGTGTCTCCAGTAAATGTGGCCGCAGAGGTGGGGGAGGGGGACTGGCCTGCTGCAGTCACTGCTGAAGGAGGAGGAGGTGGCTCTGCAGATGTGGGGGAGCTGTGAGTGTGGTGGTGGTTGTGGGTGCTGGGGTGGACTCTGCTGTCGTATGGAGCGTAGGGGTGATGGTTGGAGCCGATGGCACACTGTCCATCTGTGAGGAACCAGCACTGCTGGTGAATACGGAGGAGGAGAGTGAAGATGTGACTGGAATACTTGTCTCTAGGGCACCTGCAGGATTTCCAGTACCTTCAGTATTTGGAAGGGTAGTCACCATACTGGAAGTTGTGGGATGAGATTCCTTAGTAAGTGCACCACTGTTCTTCGTGGTGGGGTACGACGCGATGGAATTGGTGTGTGTTGCTGACGTACCAGAAGCTTTATGGGTTGAGGTGGTGTCTGTCATGGTGCCCCATGGGACGGTGTCACCCATAGATGACGTGGTCAGACTTGTGCTCCTAAAGGTGTGGATGCCTTTACTAGGTGACAGGGTTTCAGACATGAGTGTCCCACTTGGTGCTGACAGACTAGAAGAAGCTGTTTTTGCTGGCCTGAGACTCGTCGTCATGGGCAGGAAACCAGTTGCGCCTGCAGGCATGCGGCTAGGGGCTGCTGACATTGTGGTAGAGATGTCGGGACCATGTGCGGATGGTGTGTGTGTGCTTTGGGAAGTCATCCCAAGACCTGGGGGAGTGGACGTCGAGATCATCCCAGGTGTGGGCGTTCTAGAGGTGGAGTCAATATCAGAAGGTTTAGGAGGCAGAACCGCACTTGGTAGTGACGTTAGAATTCTGGCGGTCATTGAGGAAGCCATTATGTCAGACGTCGAAACCATCCCCCTGCCGGTGGGTGACATGGTTGGGTGGGAAGATGCTGTGCTGACAGTTTCTCTGGGAGTGTCACTCATAGGTGTGATTTCCCCAGAGTTCATTATTGTCACCTGCATGAGTGGTTGTTTCCTTAGCAACAGAAGCAAAAGGTGTTGATGTGTCGGCGGAGCCCGGGGAATGGGTGGAGGAAGTTTCTGTTTGGAGAGAACTACTTGCAGTAGGAAGTGGTTTGGTAGTAATGCCTGTGGTGGTCAAGGCACTGGTGCCGGGTGGGGCAATGTTATCAGTTACTGTTGTTAAGGAGGTTTTTGGAGGAATTGGGGAAGGACCCGTAGCAGACAGATAAGTCACTCCCGGAGTGAGGGACAGTGTTGCACGTACACCTGTCGGGGCTATGGTGATCATGTCTGTGGTTTCTGTGATAGAAGAGGTCAGGGTATCTTGGGTTGTGTGTATGGTTGAGACAGAGGAAAAAGGTGGGGACATTTCTGTGGTTGTGTCCCCCACATTGGCAACAGTGGAAGCAGAGATCATGGATGAGGTCACTTTCCTACCAGAGGTGACGGTTGTCACTGGCTTGTCAATCTTAGGAGAGGTGGTATAAGAGTTGGTGAGGGGCACATGGGTCATGGCTGCACAGGTGGGGGTGGGGTGGGTGGTGGTGATGATGATGAAGCCAGAGCGGGGGATGCACTCGGTGGTGGGCATGTAGACCAAGAGAGTGGGAGGACTGGTCTCCACCTTGATGACAAGCTTGGACATCGGGGCTGTCACGGTGTCAGGACTGATTGGGGATCTGAGAAGTGACTCGTAAATGGACTTAGAGCTACTGGGTATGTGGGCAGTCCTGGGTGTGTGTTCTCCGCTGTCAGGAGCTGCATAAGGGGGCTGGTGGGGACTGAGAAGCCCCTGAGGTACACCTCCAGCACACAGAGGACTGTCGAGAGCAGTGTGGGCTGCCTCCACACCAGGCGAGTGTGAGCTAGAGGTGGCTGTGGCCGTGGATGGAGTTCCTGTGTCGGCAGAACAGAGGAACCTGTGGCGAACTCTTTGGTCATTCTGTCACCGTCACATGCCATGGGGGATCCTCACCTCCCACACCCATGTCACAAAGAACAGGATGTGCCTCTCCTACAGGAGTCTGTTTAGGGGGCAGTGGGGTGAGAAGTCCTCAATTCCTTACTGGTTACTGAGTGTCCAAGTCCTTTCGTTCCTCCTTCCTTCCTTCCTCCTTCCTCCTTCCTTCCTCCTTCCCTCCTTCCTTCCTTCCTTCCTTCCTTCCTTCCTCCTTCCTCCTTCCCTCCTTCCTTCCTCCTTCCTCCTTCCTTCCTTCCTCCTTCCCTCCTTCCTTCCTTCTTCCTTCCTCCTTCCTTCCTTCCCTGCTACCTTCCCTCCTTCCTTCCTCCTTCCTTCCTTCCCTCCTTCCTTCCTCCTTCCTCCTTCCTCCTTCCTTCCTCCTTCCTTCCTTCCCTGCTACCTTCCCTCCTTCCTTCCTCCTTCCTTCCTTCCCTCCTTCCTTCCTCCTTCCTTCCTCCTTCCTTCCTCCTTCCTTCCTTCTTCCTTCCTCCTTCCTCCTTCCTTCCTTCCTCCTTCCTTCCTCCTTCCTCCTTCCTTCCTTCCTCCTTCCTTCCTTCTTCCTTCCTTCCTTCCTCCTTCCTTCCTCCTTCCTTCCTCCTTCCTTCCTTCCTCCTTCCTTCCTTCCTCCTTCCTTTATTCCTTCCTCCTTCCTTCCTTCCTTCCTTCTTCCTTCCTTCCTTCCTCCTTCCTTCCTTCCTTCCTCCTTCCTTCCTCCTTCCTTCCTCCTTCCTTCCTTCCTTCCTTCTTCCTTCCTTCCTTCCTCCTTCCTTCCTTCCTCCTTCCTTCCTTCCTCCTTCCTTCCTCCTTCCTTCCTTCCTCCTTCCTTCCTTCCTTCCTTCCTTCCTTCCTCCTTCCTTCCTTCCTCCTTCCTTCCTCCTTCCTTCCTCCTTCCTTCCTCCTTCCTTCCTCCTTCCTTCCTTCCTCCTTCCTTCCTCCTTCCTTCCTTCCTCCTTCCTTTCTCCTTCCTGTCTTTTTCTGGTGGAAGAAGATGTTGTGTGTATGAAGTCTATCTGTATGTGTATGTGGTCTGTGTGTGTTATGTGTATGTGGTTCATGACTGTGTTTTGTAATATGGCTTGTGTATGTGTGTGTTGTGGGTATGTGGTTTTTGTATGTGCTATGTGTGTGTGGTTTGTGTGTATGTGTTGTGTGTGTGATGTGTATGTGATTTGCATGTTGTGTGTGTGCTATGCATATACAGTTTGTGTGTGTTATACATGTGTTATGTGTATATGGTTTGTGTGTGTATATTATGTGTATGTGATCTATGTGTGTCATGTGAATTTTTTGTGTGTAACGTGTGTGTGGTTTGTGTGTGTTATGTGTATATGTTTGTATGTTTTGTGTGTGTTATGTGCATATGGTGTGTGTGTGTATGTGTGTTGTGTGTGCACGTGAGTGTGCAGGTGTGTGCATGCAAAGACCAGAGCAGGACACTGGGCGTCTTCCTCTGCTGCCTCCTACCTTACTGTCTTGAGCAGGGTCTCTCACTGAACTGGACGCTCATGTTTTAGCTGCACTGGCTTGTTACCCGCAAATCCTCAGAGCCGCCTGCCTCTGCCCCACTGCTGGGTTACAGGCACACACAGCTGCTCCCAGCCTTCTACATGAGTACTGAGTTTCCAAACTCGGGTCCTCAGGCCTGAAAAGTGAGTGTCCTTCCCTACTGAGTCATCTCTCCAGCCCCTTGCTTTTTTGAAACAGGGTCTTGCTGGGCAATTGTGGCGCACCAGCCCTTGGGAGGCAGAGCCAGGTGGATCTCTGTGAGTTCGAGGCCAGCCTGGTCTACAGAGCTAGTTTTAGGACAGTCAAGGCTACACAGAGAGACCCTGTCTCAACAAACAAAATAAAATGTAGAAAGTCTCCTGAAGGCCAGATTGGCCCCCAGCTCACTACGCAGGCCAAGATGAACTTGAAATACTAATTCTCCTACCTCTACCTCAGGTGTGATCAATCATACCAGGTTTTATGTAGTTCTGAGGGGTTCGTGCATGCTAGGCGAGCACTCTACCAAATAAGCCACATTCCACAGACGGGCTCCCCTCTCTCCTTACCCACATCCCATCTTCCCTTCCCTGAGCCCTTCCTCTCCTCCTGTTGTCTCGTCTTCCAGTCCTCTTGGATTTTGGAGTCCATCTTTTAGCCAAGCCCTGCCCTTTCCCTGTAGACCTCCAGAGCTGGTCTGGGAGATGACGCACACCACAGAAACAGGAACCAGAGCTCAAGAGGGGAGAGCTGGGGATGGAACACCGAAGGAGAGGAGGAGACTGGAGGTCACAGTCTGCTGAGACTGAGGGATGGACAGAGAGGACCACGTGGAGACGGGAAGGGACCTGGAAGAGGAGGAAGCGTCCAGAACAAGGTGTCCAAGCAGATAAGCATGGGTTGTGGCGACCTTAGGGCTTGGGGATCAGCGTTGACCATAGAAACACCCATCTCGGGGGCCAGAGAGGGCCCAGTGTGCAAGAGTGCTCGCCGCTCTTCCGGACATGGCGAGTCTGGGTCCCGGCATCCACAAAGGGCAGCCATTCAAGTGTCCTCCTCTGGCTTCTCTGGGCACCCCATGCATATGCCTGTGTCTGTCACACACACACACACACACACACACACACACACACACACGGGGTGGGAGGGATGCACATTTTATGTAGTGGCTCTGTCCTGGCTACTGGATTAGTTAGTGCATCAAAACAAATTCCTCTTTCTTTTTTAATTTATAGGGAGGGGTGCGTGAACCACAGCGCAAGTGTGGGAGTCAGAGGACAACTTTTGGGTGTCTGGTCTCTCCTCTTGGGAACGGAATTCAGATTGTCAGGTCTGGCAGCCAGCATCCTTACATGCTGAGCCATCTCACTGACCCGTAGCTTCCTCTCCCCTCTCTCCACATGTTTACTCTCTCCCTGATGAAGCCAGCCAGCATAGCTCAGGCATCCCGGCCTTGGTGCCTCAGCCTCATGAGCGCTAGGAGGCCGGGTGTGTCCCGCCTCACAAGTGCTGGAAGGACGGGTATGTACCACCTCACAAGTGCTAGATGACTGACAGGTATGTCCCACCCCTCCTAGCCTGGTCCCTTCCACTCACCGCACATTTTACATATGGCGGCACCAGACATCAGATCAGCCCCATAGTGGGGCGAGCATGAAGCACCCCCACCTCGGGCAGCCGGTCTTTAGTACCTCTGCACAAAGGACCCTCCCCCCCTCCCCGGACATGCTCTTCCTGAGGACTGAGGTCACTTCTCAGCCTAGCTGTTGGGGGTCGAGGGAGGATGGGGGCGGGGAATGAGGCCTGCAGGCTGGGTCCTTCTCGGCCAAGTCTTTGGCCTGCAGGGAAGTGAGGGGGTCTAAGTTGGGGTGCTCTGCAGTTGGGCAGAAAGAAGAGAGGAGGCGGCGACTGTGGGTCCTGAGGGGGGGCCCCACACCGGGGAGTCTTGGGGCCACTCCCTTTGTGTTTGTCTGTTTGTTTAGGAGGAGGGGTGCTGGAGATCCAGCCTGGGAGCCTCCTGCACACTGGCTAAGCACTGTGCCCTGATATCCACTGTGCCTCCCAGCCTGGGAGAGCCCGGAGTGCAGCCAAGCAGCTTCCCGGTTCCCCGATGAGGTGGGCGGCAGAGGGAGAGTGGGGAGGGGAGAGAGGAGGAGAGAGTGAAGAGGAAAGGGAGGAGAAGAGAGGAGAGGCGGGAGGAGAAGAGAGGAGAGGCGGGAGGAGAGGGAAGCAGGAGCAAGAAGAGAGGGGAAGGAGGGAGGAGAGGAAGACGATGGAGAAGGTGGCGGTGATGATGATGATGATGAGCCGACAAGGAAGAAGAATCCCTCCCCCCCCGAAAGAGGCACGGAGGCTGGGGGACGCCGAGGAGTGGTGGCCGCTGCCCAAGAGACAGCAAACAGAGTCCAAGCTGCAGTCCCAGCCCAGCTGCCGCCCTCGGGGATGCAGACCCGAGCGCCAGAACCCCGCGGCTCTGGCCTCTCCAACCAGAGGGACCGGAGGGACCCCTCGCGGCCTGCGCTGTGCGCCTCCCTCCCAGCCAGCCTCGGCATCCTCGCTGCGCGGGAGCCCCGAGGGTCTCCCAGCCCCTGGCTCCATCCCTGCAGCTCCCCCTCACCTGCTTCCCCGGGGGAGGCCCTGAGGAGCCAGAGGCTGAGCAGCAGCATGGGCACAGCCGGCCGGGAGCAGAACCGGGTCCAGCGCCGACGAGGGCCGTGAGGACAGTGTGAGCCACGGCTCCCGGGCCCCGCACAGTGGACTGTTTTTCTGCCCTGCCTGGCTGAAAACGGAGCAATCTCACCTTTGAGCTCCGCAGCCTCCCGCTACCGGGCCCTCAGTGCTGTAGGAAGGGAGGGGACAGGAAGCCAGGACATGCCTATTTGGGGCCGGGTGGGAGAGCCCCACCCCTGGCCTGTTCCCCTGGCTCCATCCTTTCCCAGGACGCTGCCGGCCTCCCCTGCCTCCCGCGGAGTATACACAAGAACAAAGCCTCCGCGTGGAGTCAGCCCTTCCGCTTCGCTTCAAGCCCCCCTCTGCCCTCTCTCCACCCTCACAGCCACCGGGGCTGTGACTCCACTGGGGAACGTCGTGGAATTCAACCTCAAGTCTTTTCTCTGTCGGAAGAGCTGGACGGGGTCCCAGGAAAGGAAAGACCAACAGCCATGGAAACAAACCAAAGCGCAGGTTTAGTGTTGAAGGAG